TTTTTTCCAAAAAAAAAAAACCAAAAAACCTCCCCAAGCCTTTGACAAACTTTCGTCTATTGTCTTTGGGTTTGCTTGTTTTGGATATTCCTCTAAGTGGGAACATAAAATTATAGCCTTTTGAGACTGGATTCTTCAACTTAGCATCATGTTTTCAAGGTTCATGGTGTAGTTAACATAACAGTTCCCAGTTCCTTTTTATGGCTGACTAATATTCCATAGTAGGCTATACCACATTTAGCTTATTCATCATTTGATGGATATTTAGGTGATTTCCACTTGTTGGCTGTTATGAATAATGCCATAAACATGCATGTAGTTACAGATTTTTAGTGACTTTTTGTAACAGCAAAAGAAGTGCTACTTGACTGGCATCTGTGGCTCGTACCTTCTAGAAAAGGAGGAGAAATCGAAACCTTGACTTTCCTAGGTGATCCTCAGAAGGATTTGGTTGTAGAGCTTCAGCTAGTGGGATAATAATAGAGCCATGGGACGCGCCTGTTCTTCTTTTTTACACCTGTTTTTCAAAGCTATGGTGACAACTGGTTTGGCTTATTTTTTGAGGTTACTAGGGCTGTGGTTTTCCACTATATGATTTTGATTGGAAGAATTTGTTAGGCGGGATTTGTGACTACTGGCACCCGTGGTGATGGGAAGCGTGCTTAGGGCAAGTATTCTCAGAGCCCAGTTCTTGTCCCCCACCCAGCCTCTGAACTGTGTGCAGGTCCTCAGTCTCTCTATCACTGCTTTGAACTGGCTGGCTGGGCTTGTTAAGGTCATTTCAACCTTGAGTATGAATGTTCTAGTATTTGCTCTCTCCAATGCATATATATTACACAGTGGGCTGGTGTTTTGGTGATGGGGGTGAGTGTAGAACACCCATCATATCCTCTCCTGGGGTAATGGGAGAAGCTTTACATCTGAGATCCGGAGCTTAGGGCAGTAGGCCAATTGCTAATCTGTAAAATGAGCATGGTTTAATTTGACAAACTTCAGGTGCAGTAGTTCACGGTGCTGCTTTTCCCAAACAGATTTCCATGTGTACTGTGGTTTCCCATCTCTGACATCTGCCTGAGGCCTCTGCTGAGCAGTTGTTCCTTTTTCTTTGCAGCCAGGCTGCCCCTATAATATGAGAAGACAGGGAAGCTTCATGGTAGCCACTTCTGATCAGGTGGAGAGTCAATAAATGTCAGGGGTTTTTTGGGGGGCGGGCAGGGACGTTTCCTTTTCTCCAGAGCTGGGCAACTCATGCTTAAAAAAAAATTTTAAAAAAGCAGCACACATTTTAAAAGAAAGATTGTAGTTGATAGTAGAGCATGTGTAAAGTGTCTGCCACCAACACAAAATGCACTCGGGAAGCATCGTTTAAAGGTGATGTCCCAAAATCCCGGCTTCGGCACACTTCCTACCCTCTTGATGACGACAGCACACCTGAGCCCCAGTTCATTCAGGGCACTCAAGAGATGGACATTGTGGGGGGTAGAGCAGCCTGTGAGGTGGCAGGGAGAATGGTGTGCTGTGAATAATTCACTTGGGGGAGAGGGAAAGGCTTTGGAGTGGGGGGTCTCGATGGCTCATTGCTGAACTAGGAGCGACTGGTGGGTTACAAGACATGGTCAACACTGCTGTCTAACATGGACAGAGCTGCCCAGTGAGATGATGTTTTCCCTTGCTAGAGGGTCCAGGCAGGAGTTAATTTGTAGAAAGGAGCCACACGTTGTTTACAGAAAAGTGGCAGTGTTTTCCGGTTACCAAACATGCAGGATGCTATTTATATTTAGACAGACTCTTTGCCAACTAAATGTTATTAAAATGATAAAGAATTACAAAATATTAAAAGAATTTTATAATTGACATGATTTAAAACTTGAAAAAAAATTAGGTATTTTTCCTGTCTAAAGTGGAAGCGATTTTGTGCTTGAAACTTTTAAATTGTTTATCATACTGAGCGAATAAAAGTCTATTGCAATTAGTAGTTAAGTGTGCAAGAAAACAAACTGAATATACTTTCTGCCCCTTTTTGTCTTCAACAGTGTTCTACAATTGATACTATTCTTCAAATTTCAATTTTGGTACAGATGGGCCTTTCCAGAGTGTCCGCTCTTTTAACCCTAACACTACTGTACATCTTCCAGTAAGATTTTGAAGCAAAACTGTCTTTTCTCTCCTTCGTCATGCAGCACAGTGATACTTCTTGGTCCAGTAGTAGAGCATTCTGCCCCTAGACGACAGAATTACTTGTTCAGTGGTGTTTCGGATTGGGAAGAGAGGAGGTGGAGATGGTGGTAGAGTTAGTTACCCTTTTAAAAAAAGTTGTGGAAGTGCCTCTGACATCTGAAGCAAGCTCTCGCAGAGTGAGAGAGCAGCAGCTTCTGTTCAGTGCTGCGTCTTAAAAGGTTGAGTGGAGTGCTGATTGCTCCCAGGCTGAACATGGGCTCTTAATAGGCTTACTCATCTAAGTTTTACTTGATAAAATGCTATGGTATTAAATGTATTGCTGTGGGGTAAGGCAGGGGAGATATAAGGGTGTGTAAGTAAGAGAAGAGTGCTTTCTTTCTGTAGTTTTGATCTTAATGGGACCGAATTGTTTCCCCAAAGACAAGATCTGTGTTTTAACTGTGCTCATAGATAGCAGCAAAGTAACTGACAACTTTGATTCTGTTAGTGAGACTTTTCTTAAAATGCCTTGTCCCACGGAGGAAACTGCCAGCATAGCTTATCGTTCTTTAGTTAGATCTTTGCTTTAAAGAAACTTCCAAAAAGCTGACTCTTAACCCTGGCATAGATTCTAAGATCTCACGTAAATGCTTACATCAGCATTAATTGGAGTACTTGGTTTTAAGTTTAGTATTTTGGGCCAAACATCTGTGTCTGCACTTCTTACAAATTGTGTTGTTACCAAGTATGAAATTATAATAGCTTGAACATCTTCCTAAATTTTTTTAGTGTAGGAGCAGCAGCTACCAATTTCATTCATAGTGTCGTCATTTCCAGCCTTTGATTAGGGGTACTGTAAAGGATCTTGTAACTTCATATGCTGATCAGATAGTAGTTTTACTTAGGGGAGATTTTGAGTAATCTTTGTAGAATTGTGGTATAGCCATCAAATGTCTAGCTTCGGTTGGTGGCCCCATTAGCCCAGATTCTGCGTAGCAGTTGGCTATGTGGGCATACATTTGCATGAGGCGTTGCTTACTTAGATTGGTGATTTTTTTTTTCAAGGAGAGGCTTCAGAGAAAGCACTTTCTCCTCTGACCCATTTGAGTGCTTCCATTCTTTCATATATGTATTTATTTTGTTTTATTTTTTAAGAAAAATTTTAAATCTTTTTTGGAGTTAGCAGTTTATGTGTAGGTGCTACAGAAAAACTGTACGCCTCTTTGGCTAGCACCTGGTGTATGTAGTATTAAGGTATTTTTATCATGAGAAATGTAGCCTTGCATTATTAGTACACCTTAGTTGTTGCTCTGGGTAGAGATTTGGGGCTCCTAAATATTAGAAAGTTGTTATACTCACAGTGGATAGAAACTAGGACATTATGGTAGTTGTTGCTGTATATTGTGACTTGTTAGATTAGTACCGAATGCTTTTACCAGGGATTTGGAAAACTTTAAATAATGCCGGCTTGTTTGGGATTTCCCCCCACCCAAGTTTTTTTTGTTTTGAAGATGCCGTGTTGAACAACACTTAGGGTAACTTTAAAATATAATATGGACAAGTTTGATTTAGTTTTCTCTCTTGGCTTATTGCCTGGTCTAGAAGTTTAAGATTGCTTCCCTTTTTTTTTTATATAACTTTCCAATAGCACAGTTCTGTTGCCCTTAGGCCAACATGTTTTTTCTGCTTGTCTTCCGGTGCCATACTTTTATCTGGTAGCTTAACAGAGGTACTACATGGGCAACCCACATTGGGCCTGTGTGTCAGGTCCTACAAGCTTTTTCCTCGAGTCTGCTGATTTAATAGTGCCATCTTCTGACCAAAGCCAGAGTTTGGGGCAGAGCTGTTGTGTTAGCAGAGAATATTGCATATGCCATGGACTGCCAGAAGCAGAAGACCAAACAAGTCTTTTCTTGGGAGGAGCACGGCCAGAATGCTCCTAGAAGCGAGGACTTCCGACATGTTACCAGGAGGAAGGCATCATGCTTAGTAAAAGTGGCTGGCCACCAAAAAAGGAAGCTCCTGAAGGAGATGGACTGGCACTGTGGCTGCAACAAACTCAAGCATAGCAATTAGGAAGCTGGCACAGGACTGGGCTGTGTTTAATTCTGTTGTACATATAGTTGCTATGAGCCAGAACCAACTTGATGGCACATAGCACTAGCATTGTTCCATAAATTACTGTAATTAGATTTCTCAGTTCATCACCAATTTGGTTAAGTAAAGCTCACGGTTATTGCTGTGTACTGCCTCACTGTGCCCCACTCCTTTCCCCATACAGATCTCGAGTAAAGGAGTACTTTTTGGTGAGGGGAGGGAGCTTGTATTTAAATTCATTTGTAACCTTGGGCTGTAGCTGTCGTTTTTATTTTGTCTCACTGGTGCTTTCTATAATAGGTGTGGCCGCAATGTGTAGATATCAATATAAGAAGCCAAAACCAAATTTAAACCCATTGCCATTCAGTTCTGTCCAATTCTTAGAAGCCCCACAAGGCAAAGGAGAACTACCCTGCCAGGGTCTGAAGGCTATACTCTTTACAGAAGCAGGCTGCCACAGCTCTTTCTCGTGAGCAGCAGCTGTTAAGTTCAAACCAGCTTTTTGGTTAGCAGCTGAGAGCTTAACCACTGCTCCACCAAGGACTCCTTTGATACAAGTAAGATCATTCAACAGTGAACTTAGATCGCTTTCAAAAATTTACGCTTTTTAAGTCTAGTTCATCAGATGCCATGGGATTTTTTTTAAAATAGTTCTCTTAAATTATGAATAAGACACTTGAAATGTTGGCCCTATTCTTAGGTCTTAATAGGTTGTTGAACTTGCCCATACTCTTAAACTTTAGAAAGTGTGTCAGACTTTTTCTACACAGTATATTTTTGTTTTAGTGAACCCAACCAAGGGCCAAAGCATCTTTAAGAACGACATCTTCCGGGAAAGTACTCTTCCTGCATGGTCAGATTCTCAAGTGTAATTAAGCTGTTTCCTTCCTTTTGTATGTTCCTACTGCCCAGTGGGTCTTCCAAGACTGCCAGTGATATGAACTAAAGGGCTTCAGCAAAAATAAATGTGATTGTTCATATGTCTGAAAAGTCTGGGGGGTGTCTACCAGGCATAGCTGGATTGAAGACCTTTCTCTATGTGCTTACAGCTCCCGACTTGCCTTTTGAGCATCACTGTCACCCCTGTTTGAGTCACATATCTGTCTTCATACTAAACACAGTGTCGGGAGATAGAATACATTTATTGATCTACCTGGACATGTACACCCTGTCATAGTTGGCAGCACATCGGTGGTGGCAGGGACTTTCAGGATGACACTGGGCAGGTAAGAATAAATGTCTGTATTCTTATGGCAAAGGCTGCTTGCTCTGAGCTTTAGCCCTGCCCTCTAGAAGTGCTGGATTGTTTTGTTGAGGGAGGATTTTACTTCTTCAGCTCTATTCCTAGCACAGCGTAGATGCTCAGAGAATGATTGGACAGACGAGCAATCGCACAGCTGATTTCCATGGAATGAGTGGCTTTGGTTGTGGAGGTCTCTCGTTTGTTCGGGTTGTATGTTAGCGGCAGTGCTTACTTGCCTGATGGGAGTGCCCTCCTGCCGGCCAAGGAGAGGGGCACAGAGGGTTTGTCATTGAGGGACGCTTGAAGGTAAGCTTCTGCGTGGGCTTCCTGTCCAGATCCCTCGTTTCCTGGAGTTGGCCTGGAGACCTTCTTGAGAAGGTTTTTAAACGAGAATGAATAACATCAATGAACTTTGGTGATGTGACCTTAGGTTTCTGAGTTGCAAGCTGGGAACCCTTACGTTTCTTTCTCTTGTTTCCCATAGTAATTCTAGTGTGATTGCTAAGCTTGGTCACAGCTTTGTCTCGAGGAATTTTGGCTTCTTTCAGACATGGAAAAGCTCCAGAAGTACATATAAGCGGTTATCTTTGGGTCCTTCTGAAGAGGGGCGCTCTCTGGCTCTTTCAGTTAAAATAATAAACTGGAAGAATCTTTTTGAATGTTCCTGAAGTTTTGACTTCATGGATAAAATCTTGGAAATGGCTGTCATAGCCATATTTGTATAAGGCCACCTCCATTAGTGGGGGAAGGGGACAGATTGATGGAATTTCCAAAATGATCATAACCCAAATCAGAAGTGTACATTTTAATATGGGCTCTTCCTAGTTGCTAAGCATGGAGGAGTGAACCCCAAATGTTGCAGTTCTGGCAGCCAAGCTTCCTTGGGGGGAGCATACATACTTTCTCCTAGCTGCAATCAGTTTTGGGTACTAACCAAGCACTGAGGTGCCTTATGTGGTGGGCACCGTGGGCACTTAGGGATTCTGATGTTCACCCCCACCCCACCCCCGTCACCAGTTGGGACCTCCCATGATCTTTTCTAGATGTAGGTAGCCTCAGTAGTGACATTTCAAAATTGTCCCATCCTATTTTATGGAGATGTTGAACTGTATCCTGGACAGAGGACACCAACAATGGCTGCCTTCTGAGCCTATCACTGCTCTTAAAGTGGGGTGGGCTTTATTTGGAAAGCTGGCCCACCGAGTTTACCAGGAGAGTAAAAGCAAGTTAGCTCTTATGTGTACACGGCAGGATTGCCCCCTAGCACCTTTGTTTTTCTGGAACATTTTCTATCAGGTGACACTCTCTCTAAAAGACCTGATTTGTGGGAACTGTTATTAAATAACTAGTCTTAATCTTTCTGGTTTTAAAATTTCAAAAAGATCCTTTAACAGTTTGGCAGTAAAATTTCCACAAAATTTATGTAATAATGGATTCCACCTTAAGTGCCCATGAATTACATTAGTAGCAACTTCTCAGCTATTGCCTGACCAATATGCAAATTATGAGTGGGGCCTAGCGGGCAGTTGGTAGCTGTGAGTCACTGGGCTCCTGCCTGGTAGCTTTTCCATCTCATCTCAGTGAGAGGTGGTTCTCTTTGGGTCCCAGTTAAACTTCTGGTATGTCTTGTACATCCTGGGAGACTTCTAAGGTCTGGCAACACACAAATTCAGAACTCCCGGTGTATTGTCTGTTTGGGTAGGTTTCTCTTTTCCCCTCAACTTCTCCATAGTTAACATTTATTGTTCCAATTAAAAGAATAAGTAACATGAGATTTTATTGTGTTTCCAAGTGACAATGACATTAGAGAAACAACAGCCTTTATTGATTAGAAAGCCAAGTTTACATGTATCAAATTTTAGTGCCTGTTGCTTTGGCATTTGTGTTTTTGTTTTGTTTTGTACTTGTGTCCTGCAAGAAGCTCTGGTAGCTGGGGCCACTGAAAGGTTAGTTATTGAAGTTCATAAGACATCTTGTATGGTAGAAAGATGGGTGTCTGCTCCCAGAGAGATTTAACATTAGTAAACCTCAGGAGCTGTCCTACCCTGCCTTGTAGGGCCATTGGGAGTTAGAATTGACTCCGTGGCATTGAGTTGGGTTTATGTCCTGAAAAGGAGTAGGGGTGGGTGGGTGAGTTAGGTGTAAATTGTATGATAAATCCTTGACTTTCTTAAAGGGAATACTTATGAATCAGCCACATGGAAGCCATACAAATGCACAGCTGCCCGCTTTTCAGTCTGTTTTCTTATTAAAGGGAAAGTCTTGGTTGTGAAGAACTTGGGGGAGTGGATTTAAACTCAGTTCCCTTACACATGTAGGCTTTTTATATTTCAAAAGAATTCTCAGCTTCTTTGTATCATTAAGATCTCTAACGGGGGTTACTGTGCTCCGAAGCCACCCACTTTCCCACTCAGCATCCATTCATCCCCTGGCAGAAGGGGGAGGGCCCTGTGGCTCAGGTGTGCTAACAGGGGGGTGAATTGCCTACCCACTAGTGTTTCTGTTGGGGAATAAACAAACTTCTAGGGTGTCTCTTTAAAGATAAAATTGCAACATGCAGGACAATTCCCAGACAAGGAAAGGTTTTTCCTGACAACCAGAAACGTGAGAATGATACTGCTATGGTGAACATTTTCCTGTTTTCAGAATTTCAACATAACAGAAAGAGCACTCACACTTGAGTTTAAAAGAATTGGTTGGTATTGGTTCCCTTACTCCCAACTTCAATTCATCACGGAACTAATTGGTTTTTTTTTAGAAGTCTATATATATATATACATATATATATACATACCCATCAGGATTGGGAATATAGACGGGCTCAGCCAGTCTCACCCAAAGCAATTTCTGTGACAGACAGCACAGATTAGGGCCATACGCTGTACATACAGAACATACGAGCTAAGTAAGAATACCTTGATGCCTGCCTTTTTTATCAGACTGGGTGAGGGTTTGTGATCGATCCTACCTGCCATTAGTGGAATTAGTAAATATTACAAGTTGTACATGTTTTGACTTGACTTAAATTTTTTTCCCCACTAGAAACTATGTTCCAACTTCCTGTCAACAATCTTGGCAGTTTAAGAAAAGCCCGGAAAACTGTGAAAAAAATACTTAGTGACATTGGGTTGGAATACTGTAAAGAACATATAGAAGTAAGTAGCATGTCATTTTTTTTTTAATTTTTATTTTAATGTGACTCAGCTTCTGAGCCATTACCTTGCGTCAACGGCCATGGTGGAGCATTCTTAGGTGGGATTCTGAGTCTCAACCACAGCATTAGCTTCACCAGAGCTTTGTCAGTAAGCCTAACTTATCCCCTTCTCCCTAAAATGGACTAGTTTCATCTTTGCACCCTGAAACAAAAGCAGCTACCATTGAGTGGCTTGTGTGAGTGAGGTGCTCTAAAATGATCTCTGTTAGACCTTAAAAACAGCCCCTGGGAGAAGGTAGGACTTCTTATTTCCAGTTGATGAGTGAAGAAATCAGTGCAGCCTTACACACTGAGTGGGTGTCATGGTGGAGCTGACTGGTGTGCAGGCGGAGTGTGTGTGGTGGTTTGGGTGCTGGTTGTCTCTTTCTGTGGGATCAACTGAGCCTTTGCTGGCCCTTTGGACCCATCATAGACCACATCTTCCCCTTGTAAGACAGGTTAGGCTTAGCCTGCATTTTCTAGGTGTTTTAGTCTCTGAGCCTGTGAGATAGCCAGGGCAGTGCCACCTGCTTTTCCAGACCTAACGGGTAGCTGGTCTCGGAAAGCCTCAGATTAAAGAGCGGTTTCAAAGCGGTTTTCCCCACTATCCTCTAAGTTCTGGCTGGAGACCCTAGCTACTTTGCTCACCTGTGTATTTCCCCCAGCATCTAGTTCCCTGCTCCCTCACGGGGCAGAGTTAGAAGTGAAAAAGCAAATGCCTTCGTGCAGCATTTCTTTGCTCGGTTCCCATTAATGTCCTCTAGGGATACAGCGTGAAGACTGCAGTTCTCCAGGGTGGGCTTCTCTGGTTATGTGGTCCCAGTGTAGAAGCAGCCTCTCTCCTCACCACAAAGTCAGGTAGCTCTGCCCAGGTAAAGGAGGCAGTCCATTCATGAACGTGGTAAGGTGGTCTTCACAGGAATGTTGAGGGGACTTTTCTATCCTGCATTTGATGTGTTCTTTTAGCACTACACCCGTAATAGACTGGTATTACAAGCACTCTGCTACACTGACTCTTACTCAGCCCTTTAGAAACAAGAGGGGTTTTACCCCAATACACTGTCTTCCTAGTCTTTGAAGAGATGGGCCATTTGATTTTCACATAAGCCTATGTATTTAACATCATACTTATTTTCTTTGTGTAGATTCCTATGTCTCCTTTTTGACTTCAGAAATCTGAGTGTTCTTCTGGGCTTCCAGTCCAATTTCCCACCCCCTCCCCACTAGAGACCATCATATCTGCAGAACTAAAGGGGACTCTTGCTGTCTTAGCCTCCATTTCAGTATTGTAACTGATGAGTTACAGTATTCTAATGAAAAGTGTTTGGGTGTTAATGTTTGGCTGATTTTTACGTATTTAGAGCCCTCAGTGGTTTCCATGGCAACCTGGCTGACCATGGGGGGATGTTTGGTTGAAATTAAATATTCAGTGCCACTTCCATATGCCTTGTGGCTAATTTCGTTTTTGGTGGGGCTGGTTTTCCTGTGCCTCTCCTCGTCCCCTTCCCCTCTTAAGTGGTGGGATTTATATGCAGGGTTGGGCTAGAGTGATACTGCTATGTTTTTTGTAAACTTCTTTCACTGTTTTCTAGGATTTTAAACAGTTTGAACCTAATGACTTTTATTTGAAAAACACTACATGGGAGGATGTAGGACTGTGGGACCCTTCACTTACAAAAAACCAGGTAAGTGGCAGGCGGGTGGGGGTGGGGGTGGCTTCCCAACCAACAGGCGGCATTCACAGGAAGACCCCTAACAAACCCTAGGCCTTTGTTAGTGTTGTGGGGCTTGTAGCCAGCAGTCTCAGGTGCAAAGGCTCAAAAGTGTATGTCCGGGTTTCCCTGAGTGTAAGTGGTAGGGAAACTGGGACACTTTTCTGTCTTTTCTGTCACTGGGCTGCACTGTCAATCATGAGAAAAGGAACTGCAGTTTAAAAGTGCCAGGACCTGATACATACCAGCCCACCCCTTGTCCCTGCTTTAACACGTCCATTTCCTCTCCAGCATTTCTGTTTCTTCAGGTTTCCGTCCCTTTTCTCTGTTTCTAGAGAGAGATGGGCTGGTCTCTTTTCCGGTAAAGCCATTAAATGACTGTAGGCTGGCAATATCAAGAGAAGTGTGGCATTTTAAGTTTTTACAAATTGACATTAAAAAAACAATGTTTAAATTAAACCATGTCCGGGGAGGGAGGGGAAAAATGAGGACTAATGTCGGGGGTTTGGATGGAGGGGGGGGTGTTTTGAGAAACTATGTGCAGATGTGCTTTGCACAGTCGATGTGTGTATGGATTGGGATGGCAGTTGTATGAGCCCCTAATAAAATGTTAAAAAAAAAGAGAGGAAAAAAAATCTAAACCATGTCTGCATGTATTGGTAGGTAAACAGTGTGACTGCGATCAGTAGCGTAAGTTTGATATTGACAGTGGTCAATTCTTCTGGCGGAACAGACTTTAAAGGCTTTGGGACCTGGGGTCTCTCAGTATTGCAGTACAGCTAGCTGGTTCCTTTCTCACTGATGCCCTACAAGAGACTGTCACCAGTAGGGTGTGTGGTTTTAGTTAAAGATGCCAAACCAGGAAAGGGTTGAGCTTTGAGGAAAAAGAGAGTATTTCATTTTGGTTCAAACCAGTGTCTGGGACCCAAGTCACTTTCTTGTGGGGAAAAGTGCTCTTCTCCAAGCATGTGTTTCACTTGTCTTCATCAGAGGACGGACCTACTGCACACATGCATGATCATACTTCTGAACATCATTCTCTGATATAGCAGATTCTGTAAGGCAGTGTTGGGTTCTAATGCCCTGCCCTCCTTGCCATCTATAGAAAATTTTTAATTAATTAATTAATTTGAGTCAAAGCATGAGTTCTTTGGAAGCTGCTTTTGAGAAGAAACAGTGCAGCTTGTAGAAGAAAGCGGTCTCTTTTTAGACCAGTGGGTTTTTTTGATCAGCAGTGAAATCTGAGTGATACTACATTGTACTTCAGAGAAATACATTTTTGAAGGTGTGGGGTTTTTCCTGTGGTTAAAAAAAGGATAAAAGGCACACGTTTTTGGTCCTTACAATTGTCTAATTGCAGTCAAACAGTCCAGACCCTATTCTGCTGTAAAGTAAATCAGCTTGCTGTTATACTGAATGAAAATGATCTCACGTGGTTTAATCGGGACATTTCTCATTGTAAAATTCTCATCTTTTATCTAAAACTAATCAATTGTGACTGATCTTCTCTAAGCATAGAGTTTCTGATTTGTACTTTGGAGCGCATATGAAAAGTACTTAATATAAAGCTATTTTTGAGTGTTTATAGATTAACACTACTACAAAAGGAAAAATAAAACCATTATACTAAAATCATGCATAAAACGGCGTTCTGAAAACTGCTACAGGGAAACCTCGACCCTGTAATTGCTGTCTGAGGTGGCATTCTAATTCCAGCTCTTTGTGTTTCCTTTAGGACTACCGGACAAAACCTTTCTGCTGCAGCGCATGTCCGTTTTCTTCCAAATTCTTCTCTGCCTACAAAAGTCATTTCCGGAATGTCCATAGTGAAGACTTTGAAAATAGGATCCTTCTTAATTGCCCTTACTGTACCTTCAATGCAGACAAAAAGACTTTGGAAACACACATTAAAATATTTCATGCTCCAAATGCCAGCGCGCCAAGTAGCAGCCTCAGCACTTTCAAAGATAAAAACAAAAACGATGGCCTTAAACCTAAGCAGGCTGACAGTGTAGAGCAAGCTGTTTATTACTGTAAGAAGTGCACTTACCGAGATCCTCTGTATGAAATAGTTAGGAAGCACATTTACAGGGAACATTTTCAACACGTGGCAGCACCTTACATAGCAAAGGCAGGTGAAAAGTCACTCAACGGTGCAGTTCCCTTAGGCTCAAACGCCCGGGAAGAGTGCAGTATTCACTGCAAGCGATGCCTTTTCATGCCGAAGTCTTATGAAGCTTTGGTGCAACACGTCATCGAAGACCACGAGCGCATAGGCTATCAGGTCACTGCCATGATTGGGCACACAAACGTGGTAGTGCCGCGGTCCAAACCCTTGATGCTGATTGCTCCCAAACCTCAAGAGAAGAAGGGCATGGGACTTCCTCCAAGAATTAGTTCCCTTGCTTCTGGAAATGTCCGCGCTTTGCCATCACAACAGATGGTAAATCGACTCTCAATACCAAAGCCTAACTTAAATTCCACAGGAGTCAACATGATGTCCAATGTTCATCTACAGCAGAACAACTATGGAGTCAAAGCAGTAGGCCAGGGGGGCAGCTATGGCGTAGGCCAGTCAATGAGGCTGGGCCTGGGTGGCAATGCCCCCGTTTCCATTCCTCAGCAGTCTCAGTCTGTGAAGCAGTTACTTCCCAGTGGAAATGGAAGGTCTTACGGGCTTGGGTCAGAGCAGAGGTCCCAGGCTCCAGCCAGATACTCCCTTCAGTCTGCTAACACTTCTTCTCTCTCGTCAGGCCAGTTAAAATCTCCTGCCCTCTCCCAGCCACAGGCACCCCGAGTGTTAGGTCAGTCCAGTTCCAAACCTCCTGCAGCTGCCACAGGCCCGCCCCCAGCCAATACTTCCTCCACCCAGAAATGGAAAATATGTACGATCTGCAATGAGCTTTTTCCTGAAAACGTCTATAGTGTGCACTTCGAAAAGGAGCATAAAGCTGAGAAGGTCCCGGCAGTAGCCAACTACATTATGAAAATACACAATTTTACTAGCAAATGCCTCTACTGTAATCGCTATTTACCCACAGATACCCTGCTCAACCACATGCTAATTCACGGTCTGTCCTGTCCATACTGCCGTTCAACTTTCAACGATGTGGAAAAGATGGCGGCGCACATGCGAATGGTGCATGTTGATGAAGAGATGGGGCCTAAGACGGATTCCACTTTGAGTTTTGATTTGACATTGCAGCAGGGCAGTCACACTAACATCCATCTCCTTGTAACCACGTACAACCTGAGAGATGCCCCGGCTGAATCTGTCGCTTACCATGCCCAGAATACTCCTCCTGTCCCTCCCAAGCCACAGCCGAAAGTCCAGGAAAAGGCAGACGTGCCTGTCAAAAGTTCACCTCAAGCGGCAGTGCCCTATAAAAAAGATGTGGGAAAAACCCTCTGCCCGCTCTGCTTCTCCATTCTGAAAGGACCCATATCAGACGCACTTGCGCATCATCTACGAGAGAGACACCAGGTCATTCAAACCGTTCATCCGGTGGAGAAAAAGCTCACCTACAAGTGCATCCATTGCCTCGGTGTGTACACCAGCAACATGACCGCCTCTACCATTACACTGCATCTGGTCCACTGCAGGGGTGTGGGAAAGACCCAGAATGGCCAGGATAAGACCAACGCTCCCTCTCGCCTGAATCAGTCTCCCGGCCTGGCCCCTGTGAAGCGCACGTACGAGCAAATGGAGTTTCCCCTGCTGAAGAAGCGCAAGCTCGAGGAGGACGCGGACGCGCCTACCTTCTTCGAGGAGAAGCCTGAAGACCCTGTCGTCCTAGCGTTGGACCCGAAGGGCCACGAAGATGACTCCTACGAAGCCCGGAAAAGCTTCCTCACCAAGTATTTCAACAAGCAGCCCTATCCCACCAGGAGAGAAATTGAGAAGCTGGCGGCCAGCCTGTGGTTGTGGAAGAGTGACATCGCTTCCCATTTCAGCAACAAAAGGAAGAAATGTGTCCGCGATTGTGAAAAGTACAAGCCGGGTGTGTTGCTGGGCTTTAACATGAAAGAATTAAATAAGGTCAAGCACGAGATGGATTTTGATGCCGAGTGGCTGTTTGAAAACCATGATGAGAAGGATTCCAGGGTCAATGCTAGTAAGACAGCTGACAAAAAACTCACCCTGGGGAAGGAAGAGGACAGCTCCTCAGACAGTTTTGAAAATTTGGAAGAAGAGTCCAATGCTAGTGGTAGCCCCTTTGACCCTGTGTATGAAGTTGAGCCTAAACTCCCTCCTGACAATCCAGAGGAACACATAGCAAAGGCGAGTCCCGAGGATGCTTTAGAAGCTGAAGAGAAGCTAGACCAAAAAGAGGAGGAGAGTTCCAAATACGAAACTATTCATTTGACTGAGGAGACGCCCAAACTGATGCCTGGTTCTTCCGACAGCGAGGTTGATCAAGAGGATGTTGTTGAGTGGAAGGACGGAGCTTCTCCCTCTGAAAGCGGGCCAGGCTCCCAACAGGTGTCTGACTTTGAGGACAACGCATGTGAAATGAAGCCAGGTACCTGGTCTGATGAGTCTTCCCAGAGTGAAGACACAAGGAGCAGTAAGCCAGCTGCCCCCCAAAAGGCGGCTGTGCAAGGTGACCGAGATCAGTTGAAATGGAAGAATAGTTCCTATGGAAAAGTTGAAGGGTTTTGGTCAAAGGACCAGTCACAGTGGAAAAACGCACCTGAAAATGATGAGCGCTTGCCCAACCCACAGATTGAGTGGCAGAATAGCACAATTGACAGTGAGGACGGAGAGCAGTTTGACAACATGGCAGACGGGGTAGCCGAGCCCATGCACGGCAGCTTAGCCGGAGTCAAACTGAGCAGCCAGCAGGCCTAGGTGCCCGGTGCCCCAGTGTCGGCTGCTGCCGCCACCACCTGGAACTCAGTTCCCCCTCCTGACTGACTGCAAAGCTCTCTTCTAACTGGTACTGCCCTCTGAGTGCTGGGTCACAAGGCTGGTGTGGACATGTGGCCGTGGCAGTCCCAGTGGTTATTTCTGAGTATATGACACACGGTTGGCTGAGACTGCTTCGGAGCCTGCTGTGACAGTGACTGAATGTGAAAAGCCAGTGTGCTGGTGACTCACGTGAATACACACGAGGAAAAGCCCAGGTGTAGCTCACCTACCTTTTCACCCTTCTTTCCCGATGTAAGTGTTTGGGTGGATGTCTGTAAGGAGGAGCGGTCACCCTGACTCGCACGGTAGTGTAGGGCCAACATACAAGCTACCAGCTCAATGTGTACAGTAGACTTTGGGGGAAATTTAAAAAAAAAAAATTCTTTTTTTCATGTATTCATTCTGAATAGTTGAAATGTATATATTTGTACAGACTTTTAGACCTATTCAAGTGATGCTTATGATATTGTTATTGTGTACCCACCATAGGTTTGTTTTCCTTTTTTTAGTGCTGCCCTTGCTGTGTAATAAACGCTCTTACCTAGTTTACCTAGCAGAAGCTTGAAACTACGCTAGTATGGACTTTTGGACAGACTTAGTTTTTGCACATAACCTTGTACAATCTTGCAACAGAGGCCAGCCACATAAAGTATATACCTGGACTCTCTTGTATTATAGAATTTTTCTTGTTCTAAATACCCTTGACATTACAGCTGACAAAAAAACAAACACACAAAGACTGGTATTTCGGATGTTTTTCTGAAATCTTTTAAGCTAAAAATCACATGCCAGAATTGACTTTGCAGCTACTAATTTTGACACCTTTTAGACCTGTATAAAAAGTGTGTTGTGTTAAAAGCAGCAAACCAATGAGTGCTGCCATTTGGATATTTCGTTTTCTCTTGAGTTCAACACCACCCTGTGTCTCCATTTATACCATCTAATACATGACACGGTTGTAGTATGTATACTTGTGTGGCCTTTATTTCCCTTTGTATTAATTTTACGCATCTAAATAAATTGCTGTATTGTGCTTCATGTAAATACTTGCTTTTATTACACCTGACAGCCCTGTGCCCTTTCCCATCTAGTGCCATTTGAATCCCTGGCGCGCTCGCTGGGGCCGGGAGCCACAGTCGCCAAGCAGAGAAGTGGGAAACTGAAGTCTGCCGCCTGCAGTTTGCTTTCTCCAAGGCGCCTGTTACACAGTCTTTTGGTCTTTTTCCCCATCCCGCCCCACCCCCTCCATTTTTAACTGCTAAGGTGAACATCCTTGAGTTTTTCAGTTCCCCCTTTGTTTAAAGGAGAAGAGCCTGCTTATCTGTGTAAATGTTTTAATGATTTAAAGTATGTAAACATAAATTGGCATTGATTTTGCAAGCAGAATCTTAATGCCCTGGTGGTCTTTCTTTGGAAGGAATGTTTTCACCTTGTAATGGGAGCAATTGTGCTAAACAGGCAACCACTCTCTGCCTTTGTTAGAACTCTCTTGACCATCTTGCTATTAAAGAAAAACAGGCTTTGGAGATCAGACATGTGGAGGGCTGGCACGATGGAAGGAGGTGGTGTCTAGTCCTCAAATTCCCTAGAGCAACAGGGACCCTAACCAAGAGGTGGAATTCTGCCAGCATTTTCCACAGTTAACAGCAGTGATGGAATGTTCCAAACCAAGCATCTGTCACCTCTCAGGGATGCCGGCCTACAAATCGTGAAGTGGTTGGTTTCCTTAACTGCTAAAACCCTTTCCCAAAGACTTGTCATCTTAGGGCTTTTATTCCCAGAGATTTGACTGGCATCCCCTTAAAAGAGTGACACTCAGAGACTGCACAGGAGAGAAAGTGCTTGGGGTGTTGGGGGAGCACGGACCTGTCAAACAGGTAGACCAAAAACTCTGGAGACCAGTGAATATTTGGAACAGGATGCTCCCAAGTTAAGATGCTATAGATAACCAAATATGGGAAAGAAGTGGGGCGGGGAACCTGTGTCATTTCGAAGTTTCTCTGTCTTTGGTCTAGGAATACCAGCTGGATTTATGCCATCTCACATTTGTTTGGAAGTGACTGCCTTTAGTGAACAGGTGGGACGAGCTTTCCCTGGGCTTAGGCGGCCCTTGGGGAGCACTGTTGAGATGTGTGCAAAGTAGCAGGGGTGGTGTGCACTCCTGTCTGGACATGTGAGCAGAGAGGAGTACACTTCCTCACCGCCTGTCAAGTGGGGGTGGGGGGTGGGGCGCTTTTTCGGCATTCAGAAAAGGGTTTAGCCACCTAAGAGTTGGAAACAAGATTCCTAACTGGAAATGTCACAAAAGCCCTAAGTGTCGCAATAAAAGCCATTCTGAAAGACCGTTGTTGCTGTTTGTTTGGGGGAAAGCCATGGTGCTCTGCTACCTTCTTGCGAATTGGAGGCTGGAAGTGTAGGTTGAGCAGTTGTCCTCCAGGTCTCAGCTGGAACAGGGCAGGCCCAAGTCCTTCCCGGACGCTTGGCCACCTGTCCTCAGTTTTGTTGGGGCAGTGCGTTCGGGGTCAAGGGCTAGGACTTGTTTTCCTTCACTTCGGCACATCTGAGCTGGTTTGGGCGCCCCATCGCTGGCCCTTGTCGTTTACAGGTATGGACAGAAGTCACCTTGTCTTATAGCTGCCAGTCCCCTCATAAGAACCAAAGACCCGCCCTTTCTGTTGCAGGTCTATTTGGTCCAAATGGTTGGCCCTTGGGGAATGAGAGAGGAGAGCCCGTTCTGGAATTCTTTGGAGCTACTGCAGGTGGGAATGCCTTGTGTGAAAACACTTGCAAAGGAATCGACCCACTTACCACATCGGCACTACTGTACACATCAGTCCCCGGGCAGCCAGTGCTCCACTCCGAAACCATGGCACCGCGACGCCAGTAGCAGCTGCTCAGTGCCAGGTGACCCAGCAAGCAAGGGAAGCACAGGTTTGCTTCTGCTTGCTGGTAATGTAGTGAGCAGCCTTTCTCCCACTGTTTGACAGATCTGCTGCCGGGGATGATTGGCACCAGTCTCCGTCTCCAATAGGGAGGGGGGCTGCTGCTGGTGCGTTCACTAGAGAACAATTTCATGTGGCACTTTACCACATGTGAAAGTTGAGCTACACATTAACAAGCACAGATAGAAGAGCCTGGTGGTCACCTTGCTTTATTAGCTCGTTTCTGCCTCTCCTTAGACGATGGCTTTCTGTACATGTGCGACCTTTCTAGCCTGAGGAGTCACTTATGTGCAGGATCGTCTCAACTGATCAGTCCCTCAGCCCTTGACTATAAGATACTGCTGCTGCTCTAATCGTGAAAAACAAAGAAACCCGCCATCGAGTAGGTTCCAACTCAGCAGCCCTTAGGCCAGAGAACTGCTGCAGTGGGCTTCCGAGGCAAACTACAGGTGAGCAGCCTCCGAGCCGGATGATGAGTTTAGCAGCCCAGGGCTAACCCACTCTATGCCACCGTGTTCTAGCAGACATGCTGGACAGTCACATTTGTAGGTAGAACCAGGCATATCTACAGCAACTTGTAGAGAATGAATGGGTCCAAACATGCCCAAAGAGGGTCAGCTTCTTGGCACTTGTGCATCCTAACGGCCAGCCGCTGCCCCACATTGTAACACGGACATTCACAGCGTCATGTAGTTGCGACAAAATGGGTCATGTTCAAAGGTTGATCTGTTAGGAAACGTTGTGTGCAGGCAGAATCCCTCCCCGGGGTTCTTGAGTGTGTAGCTTCTACATGCTCCAGCTGTGGAAGGTGCGTAGCCCTCTCCAGGCCAGACAGCTGGAATGAAGGGCGGGCAGTCTTCCACACCACCCAGTGTGGTGGTCTTGTGGGTGCACGGCCTAGGCATCTGTGATGTCAACTGCCTCCGCCACAGTGCATCGTCCACCCTGTTGGGGGCTTGAGGCCGTTTAATCTTCGAGACTGTCTGCAGTTGTACTCTGACCTTTACTAATGTCTTGGTGCTAAATGACGCAAAGTGGTCACCTCTTGAACATCGACACAGCAAGCGGCGAGCTTCCTGCTAGAAATAAAAAGGGCTTTCCTAATGTGCTGGATGTAAGCATTGCACGGGCTGCCACCTAGACTGGAGCAGAATGTGACAGCTGGGTGCGGGAAGCGGCCATCTGGGAGTCTAGAATTTGAAAGTGAAACCCTTGCCTTGGAGAATGCTAAGGGTGGGGGGCGGGGCTGGTGAGCTGACTTGCATGGCAGCCCCAGTGGGCCAAACTACCAGCATTCCCTGGGGGGGGCACAGGTCAGCAGCGAGTAATTCTCCAGCAACAGAAGCCTCCGTCCAGTGTCCAGTGTGACCTGTTTCCTAATGCAGGTCAGTGGCTCAGAGGCCGGGAGTCCAGTGATGGGCTTGACCGCCTTTCCCAGTGCAGTATTTCTCCTACAGTCACCCAACTAGCAGGGCACATCATGAATTCCTGTCTCCTCGACACCACGCAGCGTAATTCCTGCGACTAGGGGAACACAGGCTCCAAGAATCTGTGAGACTTCCCAGTGCTGCTGCATTGCAACCCCCACTCCCCCCCAAAAAGTTACTTCCTGCAAAGGGAATATTAGCCCCGGTGTCAGATGTGGACGTGGAAGCTCAGAGAAGCTAAGTAACTTGCCCAAGACCTCTGCAGGCAAAGGAGAGGTGTACATCGAATGGGGATACTGGGGTTCATTGAGCTGAAACCTCACTGCTGTTAAGTCCACTGTGACCCAGCAGCCCTGCAGGACAGGGGAGAACTCTCTATGGGAGCAGAAAGTCTCATCTTTCTCCCTCAGAGGGACTGGTGGCTTCAGACTGCTGACCTTGTGGTCAACAGCCCCGTGTGTAACTCCCTACACCCCCAGGGCTCCCCCTGGACTCCATGGCCACTGGGTACGCCCAGCTTGTACCACACTGCCCTGATCTTGGCTGAAGAGGCTTCCTAAGACAGGTTTCCCCAGCTGTGAGTGCTACGGTCACGCCGCCACCTGCCCTGCCAGGGCTCCACGGGGTTGCTCTGAAAGAAAGGGTTTGTGACGTACACAAGTGTAAATGTAATGCCAGCTGACCCTTTCGTAGAAACCACCTCGCCTCTACCCAGCTTTGCACGGCATCTAGAAAGGACGCGTTTCCCTCTCCCCATCCCAGGCTGGTTCCTTTATTCTTGTGCCACCCCACGCCTCGTGTTTCCTTCTTCCAACAGGGACC